AATTTTTATCTTACTTTTATCATTTCATTCGGTTTTCCGTGTTTCGCATTAAGAAAGAAAAGATACTTATAAAATAGTATCATTATATGTATACTTGTTGGACGAAGATAATCTCGTTGCATAAAATCAACTACTGTTACAATTTTTATCCCAGAATCCTTCCATATTTATCCCTTACGGAGATTGAAATTCCCAACACATTTAAGAATTTTATTAATATTTATTTTCTCAATGTTACTGTATAAATTGTTCATAATAATTATTTAAACATGAAAAAAAATCAAACTGATATATAAAAGAAACATTATATTTAAATGAACAGAATGTAATACATATAAATTAGAAATATACATTTAAACAAAATTATTCGCATGTGAACGAAGTTTTTTTGATTTTTATAAAAAATCTTCGAAATATCATCGCATAAATGTCTGCCTTCTTTTCCGTTCTTCATAAAATGTAATTATATATTGCGAAAACTAGAGATATTAACCTACATAAGACATCTAGCATGTATGTATTGAAGATAATTACACAATTACAAAAGACTATTCACAGAATCTCAAATGATACTTGTTTGCGTGAAACGAGATAGCTTAATTGGTTCCACTCCAAATTTTAATGACAAATTAAATTAAATGCATCCTAAAGTCAAGCTTTCGCAGATAATAACAATAATAAGAATAAAATAAATAGCAATATCTAATTCTTAGAAAGTTTCTAATGGAAATAAAATAACTGAGTATAAACGATTTATACTTTCAAAGTTTTTATTGCGTTAAAAAAAAAGTGTTGTAAATCATCGTAAAACTGAATCAATTAATGTCTCGAAATAGAAATGTAAGAAAAATGCGGTTTGTTTGATAGATACGTAAGAATGAAATTAAAATGAAACGAAATAGGTTTAAAATAAAAAGGGAAATGCAGATCCGTTCGCGAAACGTCGTAAACAAAGATCTCATATACACGTTATAATTGGTTATCCTCGAGGTAGTAAATTTGAATCATGGCAATGAAACCGTCAATTATGATGTTTCACTAATAATTAATGCTTTTCATCCTTGATCATTTACCATAAAGCTTTATTAAAACATGTTCAGTAAACACAGTTATCGAAGAGGGTACGAAGGGCATATTTCTGCTTAATCATTTATACGCTACCATATGGTAACATCCTTTAAATTTACTACAAATTTTATCACATTTAAAGCTTTACGCGGAAAAACTATTAATTAGTAAATAAATAATTAAATATGCACACGCAATAACTTGATTTATATTATTTCTGGAGATTAGATCGTTACTTGTAGCCACTCAACTCTTATCTAAGAAATTTCTGACAATCAAAAAATTGACGAGACAATCATCAAAAAAAAAAAAAAAACACAACAGCATATGGTATTATTGACCAACCTGAAAAGAATTCACATATTTTTATATGATGAAAATAAAATTTAAAAAAATCATTTATTTATTTATTCGAACACATTGAATTACGCGTTGTTAAGAATAATCGTATGATAATAATTAATTATCATAATTAATTATCGTATTATATTTTCTCCAAGCTGTAAACGAGTAAATCGCGTGTTAGTTTTAAAAGAAGATGTCTTATGGTTAGGTAAAGTTTGAAAAGTGCGTATCAAACAAGATAAAAGAAATGAGGAATAAAAGATCGTTCATCATTAAACTAAGATCGCCATTTTGAAAGATTACGAATATGGAGCGGAATGTCGATGTTGTTTACTCATTGGAAGTGTCATGTGCCGTTCTTTGAGTGGGTATTGAGAAACGGTCTTACATTTCGTTCTGCGGATACTGCACGACTACTAGTCGAAGAAATCGCACAGAATGGAGTCTCGCACGAGAAATATAGAGGACGGCTTTTCCCGCAATGAGCAACGACGATCGATCTAGATTTTTGCACGATCCAAGATCAACGAACGATAAAGGTATTATAGTTGGTGTTTCTCCGAGAAAATCCTCACATTCGTTGTAATGATCTTCAAATGATTAAAACAACAGAAAAAGTTTTCCATTTAAAGATGATATTCAAAATAAAATTTTATATCTGATATAAATAACAATAAATTCATTGTAATAAGGTCAATCTAACAAAGGAATTAACGAGAAAAAAGTATAAGTAAAGAAATTTAGTAGTTACGTTCTAAATAGAATATAAAATTTTGATAGAAATTACTGAATAAAAATTTGTAACCCACTTAACTCTGATGTCTGAATTTATATTGAAAGTACATCTATAAAAATGAAAAGTAAACACACAGAGAAGGAAAGAAGAAAAACGTCAAATATGCCATGTTGTAAACGAAGTTACGAAAGATAGTAAAAGAAGGAAAACATACGATCAGGATTTTACTGGCTTGTTGGCTCTAGAGTGAACACGTGAGAGTAATAAATAAGTCTTCGGTGTCTATAAAATGCATCGGTAAATGTCTTTACCATAGTCTATTAGTACCCTAATGAAGAAATCTACTGTAGAATTTGAATCGTTTGATGAAACGTAAGAAACGCCTGAATATGTGTATCTATCTCTCTCTTTCTATCTCTCTCTCTCTTTCGCTCTAACATCTGACAACTTATCAATATTCAACTCAACGGTTTGCCAGTTGCAATTAGACTCAGCTTTAGACAATGACTAGCCCGTCTTCATTGCGTTATAAAATGATAAATCGAGGCTGATAATGAGGATACTCATGTGTAGCGGTTATTTCCACGGAAATAAACTGCACGATCTGAAAACAGATTGCAAGCATGGGTTATATTTCGAAATATCCTTTACTGTACGCGATATGTAAGACTGATCATCTTTCATCTTCGCTAGGAAAACTATCTCTTCTGCTTCTATTTCCTCTTCTACGAAGTTCGATCGCCACCCCATGAAAGTTTAACGAACCTTACGAATCAACGTTTCTATTTTAATATGATCATTTTAAAATCAATATTGCTGGATATGTATATATATATATATATATATATATATATATATATATATATATGTTATTTTTATATTTTGTCTATGTAATCACATTTCTACATATGTGTAATTTACAATAATCTTATCTATATATTACCTTATAAATTATTTTATATCGAATATATACATATATTTTTTTTTCTATAAAATTTAAATCGAACAATCCAACAAATTATCTTGCACAATATTTTAACATTGACAAACGTTAAACTATTATAATTTATTACAGATAGATAGAAAACGGGATGTAAACGATTAGAATATATTTTCTAGATTTTTATTGTAATATATCAATAGAACGATAAAATAAATAAATTCGAAACAAACTAAGCGCCGATCAATCGTAATAAATACGATAGGGATAGTTTAGGTATTATATATATTCGCATGAATATCGAGAGCTAATCGTCAAGATCTATCTCATTCACAAGATATACCGATCCCTGACGGTATCGGAAGCCGCGAAACCGACGATAAACGTCGTACGTAAACTGAGCCTTAAGGAAAGAAGACGCCGACTTCGTAATCGCGGGAGCGAGCTATTACATGGCCGCTGTGCGTCTAACGCGACGTGACACGCGTTCTTTGCCACCGCAAACGAGATTGCTGCTCTTTTCTCTTTCTCTTTCTTTCTAGTATCCTTTTTATTTATTTTTTTTTCTTCTTCTTTTCTTTTTTTTTTCTCTAAGGAAGAGACGAACGAGACGATAAGATGTAAACTGGATATATATGCTGGATGTATAGTACTTAGACCTCATTCGAAAAGGGATGAAAAGTTTTGAGTTAGCACGAGAGAACGATCGAGGATCAATCATCAGGATCGATAGACGGAAGAAAATTAATTCACCGCGAAGTCCGTGGCAGATCGTTAATAAATGGCGAACAAGGGTGGCCAAGGCTCGTGCGAGATGAGCTTGGAGAAAAGTTCTCTTTAACACGGTATATATGTAGATACGATGTTACGTAGATATATAAAAATATGTGAGTGAATGCATGAATCCTTACGCAGGGAGAGAAATGTGAAGATAAGTGCGTGGAATCGTACGAGTCCTCTAGAGTCTTCTTCTTCTTTTTCTTCTTCTTCTTCCATCTACTCGAAGTTGCTCGGAATTACGAGCAATCCTTGCTTTTGCGTGAAATCTGAGATGAAACGAAAAGAGAAGATTATTCTCAGAGAATCGACATCGTTATTCCTTGCTCTAACGATAAATTCACTACATTCGTGCAACAAAATTATTTGCAATTTGTTTTGTTCTATCTTAACGTTACTTCACTTATCCAATTTCTCTTACTCGAAGATACTACTACTATTACGTGCCACGCGTTCAAGTCTCCGTGTCGTTAAATCGAACGAGAACGTTTTATTATATAGATTCTTTGGAAGGATGGGTGAAATCAATCGATTCCTATTCGTTATATTTTTATTTTATTTATTTAATAAAGAAAAAAAACAACAATTTAAATAGATAAAAAGGTAAATCGTGAATCAAATTTAGAAAAAAAACAACCAACTATACTTATAAAACAGTAAAATAAAAAATGGAATCGTTATTAATCAACAGATAAAATTATTGAATTACAAATGAGATCATATGTAAATAGTAATAATATTATAAATAGGTATAATAAAAAATGAAAGACGCTGCTGTAGAGAGCAAAAGTTAGTCTCTCTCTCTCTCTCTCTCTCTCTCTCTCTTTCTCTTTCTCTCTAAGGGGAAAGTGAAAGATGAGCAGAAAACTATAATAGAGAGAAGAGAGGGCAGGAAGAGTGAACCGTCACCGAAAGAGAAGCGAAGTCGAAGGAAAGTGTGCCGTGTCTGTCCTAGACCGAACATATTACCTTTTCTTATCCAGATGGGGGGCATTCGTTCTTCGGGTAGTAAGCGACGACGAAGAGGTTTGCGAGAAGAGCCCGTTGGGCTAGCACAGGTGGGGGCAGCGACATAAGTACGAGACAGCCTTAAGAAAAGCCTTCATTCTGATAGCAGATCGCGATCCACGGGAGTCGGTGAACTCGCGCGTTACACCTTACACTTTGGGTATACGACGGTAAAGAGGGGGTCTGATTTTTCTTTTTTTCAATAGTTCCAAATTTTCCCCGCTTCAAATTAAAATCTTTTTAAATGACACTGTGCTTTAAATAAAGTTCTTCTCTTTTACGTTTCGAATCATTTTCTCGGCTAAAGTTTATATATATTTATTACCAAAAATAAGACGAAGAAGAAGAAGAAGAGGAAGTGATCGTTCAAGGCAAGGATCCAAAGAAACAAAAAATATTCCCTCAAGGACGACGACGAGAGTTCGAGTGTAAGTGCGAACAAACTTAGGACATTGTACATATTATATGCACATACGTAAATATATATAATTCTCTGTAATTGCGCGAGACGTAAGAAGTACAAGGTGTATTGGAAACGCGTTCACGGTTTCAACGAGGAAGATTTACGTAAGCACAAGGCCGAACATTGTTTTTTCTTGGAAATCTAATGGCAATCGTTGGGTAGCTTTGATGTTCTTGCGATGCATCGTCTTCCTCGTCGTATTCGTAACACCAGAAAAGTTTCTTACGCGGTACGAAAGAAAGAAAGCGACGAAGCGAGAACAAATATACGGAATATGTAACTCCGTTTTACTACCTTTGAGAAAGTAATTAATAAGAGCTTTTTGTCTTTCTTCGAGTCATTTAAACATGATATGGGGTGCTGTGTATATATTTACATGGTGTATTAATCATAAATCAAAATGTCAAATTCATAATATTTCACGAAGATTAACGTAAATTTCATAGGAAAAATTTGTTTATACGTCATTTTTTGGATCATTCAACCGCCTTGAATCAAATTCTAAAGTATAATCGTATAATTAAGTATAATCGTTTTCAATCCCAAAAAGAATAGGTATTCAGATGTTCGATTTTTATTAGATCAGTCTACGTGAGTAGATATTATATATTCATGCAATAAGACACACACATTTTCAACAGTAATTTGTACTAATTTGTGCAAAATACTTACGAAAATAATAGGTATTGAGACGAGGATCGTATTTCTGAAAATTTGTATTGAAATTGTTAAACTATTATAGCATTCGTAATGCGAGTTTAGCAAATTACTGATTACATCTCATATTTATATCATTTACGGAAATAGCGCTAATAACAATGTTCATAATATTAACTTCTGTGAATATTATTGGTAAAAAATATAATGATTTAAAAAACTTTTTTTTCATTTTTATATAACAGATCGTCCATTATACGCGTTTCAATATATTTAACATTAATTAATTCATTTTTATCCGATAATCTCGTGAAAATAAAACGATGAATCATGATTATTCAATTCATACACAAAGTCTCTCGAAGAACAATGCAAAATATTTCGTGGAAACATAAATATCAAATTCTCTTGATTATAAAATTAGTTTGATTGTACTCCCTTTAGGAAAAGTTTTAATCAGCACTTTAAGAAACCTGAACTCTTTAAACCCATCGAAGTCTCTAACAAGACGTTAACTATTGCTAACCGAAACTCGAAATATCCTCAAACGAGTCATTGTTCCATAGTCACGACTTTCACGATGCTCGCTAAAAGGAGCGTGAACATTTTCAAAATCGAAAAGTTTCTGCTACTATTTAAAGATACGTCGTTAACCAAGATGACTTCCGTTCTACGATCACTTTCTGACCTGGTCGACGTTATTATCCATTTTTTAATTTTTAATTTTTTTATTTTTGAAATGACGTTACGAGAAATTTCCCTGCAATAAGTATGTATATACATATATACATATACACCTATATTATTAATAGAAGTAAAAAATTAGGTATAATTTATCATATTTCATCCTTCTTGCTATTTTATTAAACTCATTTATTTCCTATAGAAATCTTTTTATATTCATTTTTCAATAGCAGATAAAGAAAAAAAAACTATATATTGCACTCGAGTTTAAAACTGTTTTTCGATCCGTGGTTATTTGCAAGATATATCGTAACATTATGTTGAAAGAAATGGAGTTATCAAGTTAACCAAAAAAAAAAGAAAGCAAAAAGAAAGTACTTTGTCGCGATGAAGATTCCTTTCGTTGTCGATAATTTCATAAGACGTTAACGACGGTCTGCTTGTCGGCAAAACGTTTTACGGTTACCCACCTTACGAGACAAGAGAGTAGTAAAAGCTCCTGAGAAGAACGAGAAATAAGAAAAGTAAGAATATAAATAAGAAGAAATAAAAATAGAAGAAAAAGAAGAAGAAGAAAGATGATGAAGGGCATACATCCTTCGAGGACCTCGCTCTTTTGCGCTCGTTTCCTTGCTCTCGCTACTTCAGGAAGTGCCTTGTCGCTGTTAATCCTATAAAAAAAAATAAATAAATAAAAAATAAATAAATAGAAGAAAAAGAATAAATCCGACTAGGAGAACGCATTAAAAGGAACAAAAGTAAATTATAATCGTGGAATTCTTAATGCATTCGTTTGGTATACTTTTCGATTTATATTAATATAGATACGTTAGCGTCAAATTAACATTTTACACATACGTTTTAATAACCATCGATTAGAAATATGTCTTCTTGATTTTAATTGTCTATAGAAAATGTTGATAAAAATTTTATTTTTTTTTTTTAATTCTAATCTCAACAGATAATCAATCAATTTAGCTATTTTCTAATTTCTTTTTACAACTTAACTGAATTATAGTTACCATTTAATGTTAACTTTGATTAGCAATCGTTAACACGTTAACGTGATGTTACCAAGTAAAAACGATGAAATAAAGAAAACAAGTATATATGGTGCTCTTGAAACCTTTTTACTATCTCACGAATCAACTTCTGGTCCTCGTGTTAAAGATGTGTACAACAGTACACGTCGTTCAAGCTAACTTTTTTATCGTCGTTTTACGTGAAACAAGATTCGTCAAGAATGAGGAAGAAGAAAAAGAAAATAAGAAAAAAGGGAACCGAAACGTTACGAATTAAGTTGAACTCATATTCCAAATCACGTTTTCGCAAATCGTATAGCGTATTTTTGACAACGAGTTTGAGTCTCGAGGGACACGAGGAAACGTCGTTTTTGCGACCCCGAAACCCAGTGTTCCCTATTTAGACCGGACTTCTACTGTTTTATGTTACTTAAGGAATGTAATTCAAAGTTGACCCGACCTGTCGTAATAAATATCCCGGTTGATATTAACATATGTCATTTCTGTAAACGGTTTTTACATTCTGTCTTTAAACTATAATACATTCATTGAATATCTACAAACGAACTTTAAGTTTAATCGAATGATCGTGAATTCAATATTTCAGTAAATAAATCATTCCCACTACTGAAATTTGATTTGTCATTATTATCGATGCAATAATATCAAATATTTATTCAATCGAAACTATTTAACACGGTCCAATTATATTTATCTTATCTTAAATATTAACCATTAACACGATTTATGTAGTAAAAAAAAAAATTGATTAAAATTGAATAAAAATAAAAATATTTTATTAGATTATTTATATGGAATCGTATAAAAGAGCCTCGCCCAAAAGAGAATATGTAGGATCGAAGATAATTTGTAGTAGTCTCTATTCGAGACACGACTCTTAGAATCCAAAGGCAAGGGTTTTCTTTATTAAAGTGAACGACAAAGCACTGTTAGCACCGAGTTCTGTTAACCGTTCTTACGTGGCCGCCACTTTTACGCGGCGAGATGTCAGCGACCTTGTTAGTAAAATATGTAGAATGCAGTTTAGAAAATATCGTACTTCAAATATTAACTCATAAATGTTATGAATAAAATTTGACTGAATAAGTTTATACAAAAATAGTACGAAAAAATGTTAGTATATTATTTTTTTCCTTTTTTCTTATGAATTAACGCGTAACGATTTAACTTGGAACGTTAAACTCGCGTTTGTTATTCGTTGCTAGAGTAACGTTAACAGGACATTTTGAATACGGGCCAAGTAGATACTACTAGTAGAGGCTGTTGCTTTGTTAAAATCCAACGCTTTACAAGCACGCTAACGAACCAGTTCGTGCCAACAGAATCGTGATAATAGACCAATTTGTCGTAATATGGAAAGGCGATAACGGATCGTCTAATATGTGAATAAAAACAGGTAGTAACGTCTTAAAGAAATTGTCGAGCTATCGAGGATTTATCGCTACTATTTCTATGAACGTTCTAAACCTATCGTCATTTAATTGGACATTATTATGTGCGTCTTACGATGTTTGCACCGCTAATGTGAATACTTGGTGCAACATTAACGACCTGTCGCTTCGATCCGATAGGATTCGATTCACTTGTTGTTGAAAAAACAAAAACCAAAAAAAATGAAAATAAAAAAAAGGGAAGAGGAGAAGAAAAAAAAGAAGAAAGTAGGAGAAAAGAAAAAGAAAAGAAAGGTATAAGAGATGATCCGTACAAGATGATCCCGAAAAGAGAAAAGAAAGACAGTAACCACGTAAAGGTAGAATTCACTATATCGGATCGAAGGATCGCTCAGGATCGATCCATAAATTGAAAATTATGATGACGCGTTATCGATAAGTGTAACAGGGGAAAAAATGTATTAGCCTGAGGCTATAGGGTCATTAAGAAAATATAACGCGTCGCACGTATCGATCAGATCGATTTTCTGTGCTCGTGCTAAGCAAGAACTTGCGAAAATAGATCGAAAGGATGAGAGAGAGATCATATCCTTGACGATAATGAAGGACGTTATCGACGTAGTCGTTATTTTAGCGAAAACCATGGAAATTTCTCGGAATATGTTGTTAAATCGTTTATTAAGGAATAGCTCCGGGAACTTCGAGTTCTTGGTCGATGCGTCAAAGAAGAGTAAAGTAGAGAAAAATAATAAAATATGGTTCTTGGTTTTCTTTTTCGTTTTTTTTTTATTTTTTCAAACAGACCATATTTATTTCTTCTTTTTGTGATGACTATGGCGCTTATAATTTATCAACTAATTGAAATGTAGGAGATCTTCGATCGACTACCGCTTTCTTGGCCCTAGGCCAATCGTTCATTTTCAGCTATTTCAACCTTTGTGATCTTCCACTCTACTTGCCGAACATTTTTCGATCAAAATTTACGATATAAAACGAGATTGATCTTGAACTCTGTCTGATCGTAGTACCTTTGAATCGTAACAAGTTTTACATCCTACGTACGTTTCCAAGATATCTCTCTTGTAACGGTCGACTGAACGGATTCCAGGATTCGTTTTCTAATGCCAAGATTAAAAAAAAAAAAATAGTACTTTCCATAACAAAATCAAACGTTCTTTCAATGAAAATAT